CAAGAGCATCTGCTTCTGAAAGAGGATGTCTACTGACTTATTCATTCTGAATAACACAAGAGACTTAAATCCCTTTTTAAAAGAAGATTGAATGACTTCACTCAATGTATCTTTCTGAACAGCTAGACTTCAGGATCCAATCATTATGAACTTCTGATAAAGAATGTCAGATAACATCTGACCAATTACAGTTTGTTCAACTGAGATAAAATCTCAAGTTAACAGAACTTAATTATCAATGCTACTTCTAATGAACTTTCAGAGTTCATCTTACATCATATCCATGATGAGTTAGTGAAATTCTTTACACGAAACATCTACATGTTTCTTTGGAGCGTCTCAAGAACAACAACATTCTGATGCCTTGAATCAGGAGGATAATTGCTTCAAAATTTGAACTATCTCTGTTCCAGCCCTTTTCTGCAGACTTTATTCTGAAACTCTTATGAATCAAAAACACTAGCCAACAATATTTCTTTATTTACTAAAGAATACTCCCAATGATGTTTTCATGATAAAGTCAAGAGTGGAGTAATCCGTTTCTTGAAAACATCTCATACTCACAGAGAAATAATCTTCAGTAAACAAGATTTATTCCTTTCTGATGATTTGATCTTTTTGAGCGAATACGTTGTTTATCCAAACGTATTACCAGATAAGCATTCAACAGAAAACTTCTTATCTGATGAATCTCTCTTGTCAACTGATTCTTCAATCTTCTTCCAAACTCTAGTGGAGAAGATTTTGTTGTTGAAAACTTCAAAACTTTAAACTTCAACTAATCTCTGACTTGCTCAAGATAACCCATTTGATTACAATTTTAGTACTCATCTTCCTCAAAAACTGATATAAGACTGAAATTGTAAGAGAGGTGAAAAATACCCAATAGTATTTCTTCACATGGCTTTTGGATCTTTATCTAACACTGTTAGGTGTTTGATATCCATCAATAACAGAACCAAGCTCTGATACCAACTGAAGGTGTGAGAAATACACAAGAAAGGGGGGGTTTGAATTGAGTATTTACACCATTGAAACTTTCTCTTGGTTTCTTCACTTGTTGCTTTCTTTAGAGTTCTTTAATATGCATTGCGGAAGCATATATAATAAAGCATAACACAAGTAAAGAACACATGATATATCCTGGTTCACTTGAGCAACTCTCTAGCTAATCCAGTCCACCATTCCAAGGTGATTTCGCCTCACTCAAGCAAGGACTTAATCCACTATAACCAAACTGATTACAGTTTCACAAGCTAACTGCAGGTGACTAACAAATAGACAATGACACGTTCAAGGATCCCTAAGGATATAATGTTCATTGACACCTAATAGAATCTGATCAATTAAGAACTCCTATTAGTTGCCACAAATGACAACTGTCACTTGTCATTTTAAGTATTCTGATCTTCACAAGATCACTTGAGGAGCCACTAGTTCTAAAATGAATTTGTGTTGCTGGAGATTACATGAGTGCTTCTTGTCAAGCAGATTACTCCTAATTAAGTACATAGCAAGTATTGAGCAACAACTCCTGGCTTCCTAATACAAAAACTAAACTAAGGATAAATCTCTATGAGATTATAAGAACAGTAGTTTCCATATTGCTTAAAAGCTTTCCTTGTTAATCAAATATGTTGCTAACTTCACTCGTCAGCATCATTGCTTCGTAACAAGCTGGCTTGCTTTGTAATGAGCTTTCTTACTTTGTAATTAGCTAACATTTGAATGAATCAAATGTTCTTCCTTTATAGTGCAACTTTGTGAGGGTAGAAATGTCATCTCTTAGTTTCAACGGCTATATCCCAACGGATAGAATAAGCTCACGTGTTGGAACAGTGACCTTTGCTTGTGACTTTAATATCTCAATATTGGAAACCACACTTATGAATAGTACCAACGTCTTTTTCATAATGAAATGTTTGCATGCGTTGTACTGTAGTCTTCTTGACTTGGTTCTTCTGATGATTCAACTAATGAGTAGTTCAGCAACTACTTCGGTAAGACAACTTCGACATCAGAGTTGTTTAAGCACATGTTTATCAGATTTAATAGCAGCAGCTTATCTGATGAGTAATATGCCTCTGTCTGGGTGAATCTTCTTCTGACACAATCTTCAACTTTAGAATCCAGTCTTCAGCATTCTAAGATCTAAGTTTCCTCTGAAACAGTCTTGAGAATCTTCGTGACTGATTCTTCAGAAATCATGTCTTCTGAATCTTCAGAGTCTTGATCTTCAGAACACGTCTTCAGAGTCTTTCTGCACTTGGTCTTCAGAGCCTTCAACCTTCAAAACTTCAAGTCATCAGAGTCTTCAACACTTAGTTCTTCAGAGGACTATATCTCAGATGCATTGATAGCTTCCAGATCAGATACACTTCTCAGAGCAGAATCCACAGGAGCATTGCAACTGCAATATCCAGCGTCCTTGGATCTTTCTGATCGTGACCAGATACAGATGCATACTTGCTTATTCAATATGCTTTGTTTGCTTTCAGATCAGATGCACTACTCAAAGCAAAATCCACAGGAGCATTGCAACTGCAATATCCAGCGTCCTTGGATCTCTCTGATCGTGATCAGATGCATAAGCAAACTAGCTTCTCCCATAAGCGCTTTATGATACGTCACACATAGTAACTCTCATATTGTATTAGCTGCACACGTTGATGTTGTTTGTTTGATCTTATATATTTAATTATCATGATCTGCACATAACAAACATTAGAACATAAAATGGTTCTTTCACAAATAGTTAATTGTTATAATCAAAACATAGAGATAATCCTGTAGAGACAAATCTTGCTCTTACAGTAATGTGGGTGAAGGCTGAACTCAATAAGGAGTTCGACATGAAGGATCTGAGAAATGCGTCCAGGATTCTTGGGATTGACATCAAAAGAGATATAAAGCAGTTGAAATTATGCTTATCTCAAGAGGCATACCTACGGAAGATTCTCGAAAAGTATGGTATGTCGAATTCAAAGCCTGTTGTGACTCCAACAAACTCTCAATTCAAGTTGAGTATAGGTCAGTGCTCCAGCACTGATGTCCAAAGAACTTATATGAATAACATTCCATATGCTAATATAGTGGGTTTTTTGATGTATGCTATGGTCTGTACTAGACCCGACATAACATATGCAGTAAGTCTTGTAAGCAGGTACATGGCGAATCCTATAAAGGCTCACTGACAAGCATTGAAGTGGATTTTGAGGTACATAAATGGGTCTCTGAACAGAATCCTAATTTATGGTGGAGCCTTGGGTGAAGATAGTAAAACAACAATCAAAGGATATGCCAACTCTGATTATGCAGGTTGTATGAATTCCAAAAAATCTATTTCTGGATATGTGTTCACTATATTTGAGACATCAATCAGTTGGAAAGCTACACTCCAGAAGGTCGTTGCCTTATCAACCACTGAAGCGGAATATATCGCCCTAACTAAAGTTGTGAAGGAAGCATTGTGGCTTGAAGGTTTTACAAAGAAGCTGAAACTTCAAGGTCGAGTTATTCGTGTTAATTGTGATAGTCAAATTGAAATACACCTGTCGAAAAATTTAGCCTATCATGAGCAAACCAAGCACATTGATGTGAGGCTTTATTTTGTCAGAGGGGTAATCGAGTATGGAGTACTCCAAGTGTTGAAGGTTTCGAAAGATCATAATATTGCTGATATGATCACCAAGACGTTTCACAGTTGCAAGTTTTTCCACTGTATGCAGTTGGTAAAGCTGCATGAAGAAATCTAGTTTCTTGATGTTATAGAGTTAGATCCAAGGTGGGGATTTGTGAGATATTGGATCGAACTCTAGTACGATCGAAGTCTGTTCGCGAGTAATGCGTGTTGTAGTCGAAGTTTGTTCTAACATGCATTAGTCAATATTGCTAGGTTGTTAGCATGTTGAATTGGGCCTTGCTTGTAAGCCCAATTATTTAAGTTAGCTTGTACCCTAAGTTAGTTTGTTATGGATAATTATTAAAAAGCCCATTAGGTTAGTGTGTTAATTTTCTTATAAATAACATGCTAGTCTCTCATCTTGATATAAAGAAAAATAGGAAGATAAAATCCTAATTTTAAGAGAGAGATTATTTTGTTACTCTTGTATACTTGTAATCTTGTTTGTAAGAGAAAGAAAAAATTAAATGTTTATAACCAATCTTTGTTGTTCCTTGTTGTTTTACCTTGTTTTTCTTTGTTAACCCTAACCCTTGTGTGTCTCTTGGTCATAAAGAAAACGTTTATATTTTGTTTCAAGACATCTAATTAATAACAGGGGTCATAAAGACCAATTGATTAATCTGACTATGTGATGTTTTGAAAACCATTATATACTCCAGAAGACTTGAAAAAAATATTAATTAACTCATTTTTTCAGTTGTATTTATATTTATATTTATGTGACTTGCTATCACGATTAAGTCTAAAATTATTTGTCTTCTGGAACAATACTTTAATTATTTTAAATTTAAAAGAAAATTATTTAAAACAAAAAGGATAATCATTTTCATGTTTATAGTCATGAAAAGTATAGGGTCAGTTGTGTGTTCCACTAATGAAAAAAAACATAATTTGTTGTGAGGAATATTTAGGTAGCCGTCAAGCAAACAAACAAGATATCATATATTACAATAATAATTTTTTTTGTAAGTTTACTAGCCAATGCTCATTATAGAAAATACTTGTATAGAAACTAAATATAACGCGTAATTTTAAAAAATAAAAAGTAAATATTTATTTCTCCTTGTTATGATTAATATTTTATAATTTTAATTAAAAAAGAAAATCAATTTAAAATAAATTGAATTTATCTCTCTTCTTATTAGTTTTTTCTAAGAATATAAATATAGAAATGTTTCTATTCAAGTATTTCTCGCGGCTTATATATTATATTATATAGAAAAAGAAAAACCACCAAAGCAACCACATATGAAACCAAAGGGAGAAAAACCCAAAACCAAGTAGACAGAAGCTATAAGAAGGAGAATAATTCAGCATGGATTCAAAGGTTCAAAGAAGAGTTTCTCTCCAACACACGTTTCAACAACTTCGAGAAGTCACAAGATCTAGTGCTGTAATTAATATTAGTTTATATATTTCATGTGTGTGAGAAAGTTTTTAATCAAAACTTTAATTTGCTAATTCAATATACTTAAATCATTGAAGAGATTATGCTTCTGTTTCTTCAACTATGAGTTATTATTTTTTATCATTTGCAAAATTAATGAAGTTAAAAATTGCTAATTTACAGATAAACAAAGCGTCTATTATTGTTGATGCCTCCAAGTACATACAAGAAATGAAGAAAAAAGTTGAGGGACTGAACTCTGAGTTAGGGATTGTTGAGTCATCTTCCTCTCAAATGGATGAGCTACCTATGGTACTTATAATATTGTTTTTTTTTTTTTTTTATATATTATATACTTTCTTAATAAATGTTCTGTAATATAGTTCATTATTGCTACAACTTATTGGTGCATGATTTTTTTAATTTTTTTGCAGGTGAGTGTGGAAACCCTAGAAAAGGGTTTTCTAATTAATGTGCTTTTAGAAAAGAATAAACCTGGTATGCTGGTGTCAATACTTGAAGCTTTTGAAGATCTGGGACTTGATGTGCTTGATGCTAGGGTTTCTTGTGAAGATAATTTCCAACTAGAAGCTGTGGGAGGAGATGTAAGAAAATAAATATTATGTTTTTGTTTTATAAGCAAATTTATTTCAACAAGTACTACAATACAACTGTGCTCAAAACTTTTTACAATAAGAAAGTTTTATATACTTTGAATTTAGATAAGGGAATGGTTTATCCATCAATTTAAGAAAATAAAATTTTCATTTCTATCTTTTCTACAAATAAACCAAGAACTTGACAAACTTTAACTTGATCAACATTTTGGGGTTAATAATATTGTGAAGATTTATAACCTAAGAGTGTGTTCCCTTTAGAAGAAACTAATTTATTCATTTTGAGCTATAAAGGGCACTCATGGATGATTTACAATACAAAGAATTATAACACCAATCAAAATAAGTTTTCTATGAAGTGACTTTTGTTTATATTTATGTAAGAGCATGGTTTTAAATTGCGATTAGGATCGCAAAAATATTATAAATATGAGTGTTGTGATTGCATTCGTATGGATTGCTGCAATGTCCATTGCAGCAATTGAAGCGTGAATTTAATTGAGATGAGTTGTAATTCACAAGTTAAAAATTGTTTAATGCTAAAAAAATTTTGAGGTAAATTGAATTTTGAATTTTAAATTTTAAATTTTGAGTTTTTATGAAAATACTTGTTAACGTAATTACGTCGAAGTTGCACTCCTATGTTGTTGCTAAAATAATATTATGATTGTAATTATAATTACCGACTTCAATTTAAAACCATGAGTAAGAGAGTATGTAACCACCACTCCCAGAAGCGACTTTGATAGATAGCATACAATAATTTTTTTTTTTTTTATGTTTGTCATTAGCACATTTGAAAGCTAAATATTCCAAGTTAAAATAGTTATATAAAAATAAGTGATACAAGTACTCTTGGGAGGACAAAATTCTAAAATAGTTAGAAATGCATGACTTTCACCTTAAAAAACGGTGTTAGAATAAGTACTATCTCTAATTTTATTTATAAAAGAAAAATTATTTTTTAAATTTATTAAATTATTAATATATTTAAATTATATCGTGAATCTGATTTATTAATTATTCAATAAATTTAAAAAATCTAACCATTCTTTTATAAATAGCATCAGAAAAAGCATGATACTAGAGTGCATTTTTGTTTGAGTACACTATGAATCTAAAGTCACGTGGTTACTCGATTAGGGAGAAAACTTAGAAAGAATAAAACATTTAAAACTTGTTTCTAATCCAAAGTCTCTAATTTTGGTCTTTTCTAAGGAGACAAAACTCTCAAAACACCTATTATTAAATCATTCGGAATAATTTCAATCTAAGTCCTTGTTAAGTAAACTAGCCAACAAAAGAAAGAGCATGCATAATTAAATGAATATCTTGTTGTCTAAAGCTGTTAAATATTGATAAATAAAATATATAACAAGTCCAATAAAATTCCTGTCTCTAAATCATGTGAATGTATATTATGCAGAGTCACAAGGACGACAGTATCAACGCGCAAGTGGTGAAGCAAGCAGTGTTGCAAGCAATCAAGAACACGGACGACTAATCAAAACAATGCTTACTAATAAGTCCAGTACACTTTTTTGTCTTGTTTTATTAGCTTCAAATTTGCACATATATTTCCAATGTTATGCCAAAATCTGAATGGCCCTATCATCAACTTCTTCTGGATAGGTTGGAAAATGAATGAATGGACATGCATTTTTCAAGATGATATAAATATATTTATAGTAACATTTTGGCTTTCAGTGTGGGTGGGGGAGAGAGTCGACAATAACTATTCTTTTCCAGATAATATTTGTAGGAGATTTGTTTGTTGTTATTATATATGCATGAGTTTGTTTATGATTCAGATCCAAATCAGTTCAGTTATCTACAACCCTAACCCTTACTCTTTTGATCTTCTTATTTAAATGTTTTTAACTTTTTAATTTGATCATAGCTTTTTGTTTGATCATCTTAAGTATTATGAAATATGGCATCTATGAAATATTACAAATGAGAAAGAAGAGTACATTTGACTACTCTAGATCTATTTATAGATATTAACAAATCAGTAATCGATTCTAATTAAAAACTATTTTACTATATCTTTAATAATTTTTGTGAGTTGGAAAATGTTCACAACACTTCTAACATGTAAGGAGCAGTTCAAAAATATATCAAATTGAAAGAAAATATAAGACAAGTTGAAAATACATCGACCAACATCAAAATCATAAAAGACAAAAGGTTAACTATTAAGTAGAAGCCACAACTCAAGGCTTAACCACTTAACAGAAGAATCAAAGTTTAACCACCGTAAACTATAAGCACAACAACAAAACGAACAAAAGGCATAAAACTTAACCATCAAAAATACAAAATATTCAAGATAGCACCACAAGTGAATGTCAAAAAGTTTGATGGCTACAAAGTAAAACAACAAAATTCAAGTTGTGCTAAAGGTGACTACCATATTCGAGGATCAACAATTCAACTAGAAAATGATCAATTAGCATGGTTTATTGCTAGAGAATGAAGAAACAATACCAATGTTGTGTTTAAGATGAAATAACACATCAAAAATCAACTAGTCAATTGTAAATCATGAAATTCTATTTCTCAGAGAATAGATGTCTAACACGGTGTCCTAGACAACTAGTTTGACAAGTTAAACCAGAAACACCACAATAGCAAGTTCTAGATGATAGAGTAAAAAATCAGTAAATAACATGATAATTGTTTACACGGTTCGGCAAAACCACGCAAATGTCAGGGGGATTGAGACCACAACCTTAGAAAGAAAATTCACAATTAGTAGTTTAGTACAATTTAGTCTTACAAGCAACAAAAAACCTATGTTGTTCAATGTCTCTTTCTAACATTAGCCAATGACTTTCTATTTAGGCATCCCCCTAAACTTAACATGAGAACCTACTCACATTCTTCTCAATCACACAACTCGTGATTGTGGATTACAATTTGTTGAATGTCAAACATGCTTTAATTTGTTCCATTATATTTGACATTTTTCATCTCATTTGTTATGTTTTGATTAGATTTATTCCATGTTTTTATGGTATTCTTCAATTATGTGTAAATACTTTTGGTTGATTTGATTTTTGTGTTATTATGCAGGATTTAGGCATAACTTATCAAAGAAGTAGGACACAAGTAATTTGACAAAGAAGCCAAAGAAAATGTGAAGTTTTAGCATGTTCGCTAGGCGAGCAGCCAGCGAGGTTTATTAGCGAATGTTCATTGAGCGAAGTGTCAGCGAAGCCCCAACGAACCCTCTCAATTTAGAGGCAGAAAAAAAGAGCACTAAGTTCGATGAGCGAACTTGAAGCGAATGTTCGCTAGGCGAAGTTGCAGTAAAGAACTAGCAAACCACCCCAGTTTTGAGGCAGTAAATAAAGGATGCTAAGTTCGATGTGCGAATTTGTAGCGAAGTAGCTCGCAAGGCGAAGAACAGTTTGCTAGGCGAACTCAGATATTTTCTCAGGGGCAACTTAACTATTCAGAGACACTTCAAGTGCCATAAAGCGGAGTTTGTTGGGCGAAGGAGTTCGCTGGGAAAACTTGGTAGATTCTAGTTGTACTATATAAGTACTTTTCACACTTTTTGGGAATCATGACCTATTTTACACAGAGACTTATACTTTCAGCATTTCTTCACCAAAAAGGAAGATTTTGCAAATAGAAGTTGGATTTGCATCCGAGTTCGATTTCTCGACGTGGATGCTCATTTACCTTCTCTCTTTACTTGTAAAGCAAGCAACCATGGTTATGGATAGCTAATTATTTTTGTATCAAAGGTAGAGGTAGTCTACCTTAGCTCTACGTATTTCTTTTGATTGGCCTTGTATGTGAACAAGTGATGATTAATATATGACGAATATTTTTATTCTTAATGATCCATTTTTATTTTGTAAAACTCTAGACATAAATTTTATGGAACTTGACCTAAAATATTCATCTATCAATTTATAGATTGGAGAGATCAGTCTATGATTGATATTCGCTTTGTATTAAACTTAAAGCTTACTATATTGGTTTTTATATGGAGAGATCGTGTAGCGATGAATACTGTGTTTCTCACGACACCGCTCTATAGATAGATGGTGTTGAGAGAATACGTGATGATATTAATCAGATTCGCCTTCACATGCAATATTGGAAGAATATGTTTATCTATAGAGCACCCCCAAAATTTTTCGTTTCGTTTTTAATCGTAGATGGCTTATGTTTTTGCATTATCATTGTGCATATCATGACATTGGTTATTGGGACATGGGATTAAGTTGTTTCAATGGCTCAGAGTTTTCTTTTATTGCAAGCTTGTAAGAAGCAAGCATCAAAAGCTTCAGCATTTATTTTGTTCAGCAATCGGGTATCAAATTATATTTTTTAGCAGGTTGTTTTGAGCGCATGAGACAATTCACAGTTTATTTCAGACATTATACAGGTGCAATATCAAAAGATAAGTTTCAGAGGCCAAACTATGCTCAGAACAGGTGGCAACAAGCGATTCTCCAAGTTTCCCTCCTTGTGGTGCCAAAATTTGATTTTTTGAATGTGGTAATCGATTACCACAATCAGGGTAATCGATTACCTCAAGCGAAAGTTTCCCAGATTGTTCATTTTTCAGCACTGCAACACTTGGTTTGCATTTTGGTAGAAGGATTTAGAATTGGTTCAAATTTGATTCATTTTCACAATTTAATTCCAATTCCTCCAAAAATTCAAACATTTTCATTCCTAATTCCACTCTTAATTTTCATTCCAAACATTAACCCACACTCCAAACCATATTTTCATTCCTAACCTAGAGATTATTTAAACAAGTTCACTCCAAACCTCTCAGAACTTTCATTCATTTTCTGAATTTTCTACACATCTTATTTCAATTCTCTCAACTTTTCTCTTATTTCAAAACCCTCACAAAAGCTCCATAGCCAAAAATGTCACAAACTGTACATTGCAATTTGTGAATTCTTGAGCTAAACCTCCATTGCATCACCATCCTTGGTTCAATTCTGGTTTTGGAGTTCGTTTGGATCTTGAATTAATTTGTTGGAATCACTTTTGGAAGAGCTTTTGCTTATTTGTGGATTATTGCTTGGATCTTCAAGTTTTCTTACTAGAGCTTCATATATCCTTGAATTTCTTGCTTGGATCTGTTAATTGCAATTTAGCAACACTCAACAAACCAAATCTCAGTTTTGTAGGTTGGTAAATCCTAGATATAATTCTGTTTTTGCTCAATCTTGCATTTCACAATGAGATCCTTGGTTTCTTGGTAATCTTTGATATATTGCTTGCTTTGATATTTGATCTTGTTGTTTGATTGATGCAATTGGTGTTTGATTACTATGATTTGACATGATTTCCGTGCAGATTGATTGCTTGTTTATTTGGATGATTGGATAAGTCACTTGCAGCTGAAAATGCTTTTTGGAAGTTGCATTTCTGCCACTCTCTCAGTGGTAATCGATTACCAAAATCACGGTAATCGATTACCCTGCCTTTTCCACGTGTTTTTTGACATTTTCAAGTAGGTAATCAATTACCACTGAGACAGGATGCCTGTTTCTTGCATTTTCAAGCTTGTTTAGGTTCATTTTCACTTTAAACCTCATGGATTGATATGATGCATATATGTGGATTGTTTTTGACCTATTTCATTATTCTTGATAGCATGCTCGTGATTATTCGACACACGATTTTTTGTTTTCGTTGATGAACATTTATGATTATTTTTGTTGCATTCTTTGTATGATGATCATGTTGCCTATTGTTTGCATAATGTTGATTGTTAGTTTTGATGTTTATCTTGCCGGACATGCATTACATGCTCGTTGTTTGTTTCCGATTCTGCAAACGCGTGATTGTTCGAATGATTAATTGGTATTGGATATGTATGATGTTCTCGTCAAATGTTTAATTGTGCATCGAACTTGTTTTGTGCTTGATTGTTAATGCATGAACTTGATTGATCCTTACCATGTTATATGCTTTTTGTTGCAATGTTTATGTATCTATGTTGCCTTACTTCCCACACCTGTTGTTATGGATTTTAACATGCTATTAAATTCTGCTTGTTGCTTTTTACGCCTATAATGTGCAGAAAGATGAGTTGTTAAATGCTGTTGTGCTTACTTGCTAGGTTTTTATAGTTTTTCTGAAGCTGGAGCGTTGTCGTAGCTGCTGTTTTTATTTTTTTTCATTGTTTAGTTTTGTTCTTGCGTGCTCCCTTAAGGCCTCCTAGTCCAACTTAATTTTTTATTAAGCTTGGAGTAGGATAGACATTAGGAGTTAATCAATGCATGATAACATTTGGTTAGTCCCTTTTAACCTCAACCATAGGTCCATCTTTTGCATGCTAACATTAAGATAGAATTTCCTTTCGCATCCCGACCTTAGGACCATTTTGCATGACAACGTTAGGACCGAGTTTCCCCTTAGACCTTCCGTGCATCTTTCTCTTCTTCTCTCTCAAAACAACATCAAAACACGTAATAAATACGATGAGCATTGTGCGCCACGAGCCTTCAGTATATG